TGCACCGGGGACCTGATTATAGCACTTAAAACCTGGAAAAGTCCGATTTTCATGATACGTCACCTTTAAAATGTGCAACATTGATATTAACGTAAGAGTGGCTGCAGCTATTTGAATCTTAAAGGTGCGAGACTTGCGTCTCGGTCATTTTACCAGCTCCTGATGCGACTTGATATTGCAAACTGGCATTTTGGCATTATATTATTATCGTAATCATGAACATTCAGCTTGTAGTGCAAATAGTTTTACCGTTTAAAGCACTTTGTTGTTTTTCTGTTTCTACATTTTTTCATGGTGAGTGTGCATGCTACCCTTACGAAAATGAACCATGGTTTTACTACAAATAAACCAAAAAAGCATGGTTACTGTAGATAAATCATGGTAACCACAAATTAACCATGGCTTTTCTGCACTAACCATAGTTTAACCATGGTATTTGTAGTACAACTATCCCAGATAGCACAGGTACGTCTGCAAGACGTCTGTTAAAGATACTTCATCTGGAAAGCGTCTGCTGTACAAATATCTGATAGACGTCTCTAAGATGTCCGTTTTAAATCATAAACATCTTAAAGACATCTTCTAAACGTCTAAAGAGTCTCTGTGATCTTCTGGTCCTGCAAGGTGAAATGTTCTCGTCTCTTATTTGTACACTAGATGTCGCTGTGTTCCTAATGTTATGATTTATGAGCAGTTCGTCGGGGAAGTCAAGTCTCAATAGATCTTTACACATTTGGCCAATAAATTCACACAAACTCTGACATTCTGAGGAACAAAGACATATCTTTACAAAATCCCCAGTTTCTGTTGCTCAAACGGTGTCAGACATTAAAATACTCAGATGAAACAATGTTACGGGTTGCTCTTTCAAAGCTCAAGGACTCTCAGTTAAATGTATCAACTTTGGCTCAGATGTTTCTCTGCCTTGTAGGATAGACGCAAAATAGACACATTTGTGTCATTATTTGTCATGCAGTAAGAGTACAGAGCAATAAAATGGATGTTTTAAAGCAGCTCAGATCTTTTAATCTTGGAGGAACTTGATGAGAAATGTTTGAGTTTATAGTATCTTGGCAAATCTGAGCCCAGTTTGAGCCGTTATTCAGATCTCTTCTGGAACTGGATTGTTTCTTTTATTGGGGTGTTTTTCTCCATTTAATCTCAGTGTTTCTCAACTGGTGGGTCACGACCGATAAATGTGCCGCAGGTCTGATCTGAATGCAAACACGAACACGCAACTAGCCGTGTGATGGTGCATAGTTAAGATAGTAAAACAAATAGACTTATCAGGAAACACTTCCCGTATCTTTTGTGGCTAAAGTCAAAGGTTGTGTTTCCAGTCAAACGCTCCAATAGTTCAGCACAAATTCATGTGGTAGAAGCCTAAACTTTCAATGATCATATTCAGCTCATGTTAATAATGTTTGTACAGTATCTTTTGTTTGATTTTCCCCAGAAATGAGTTAAATCTGAGAAAACCTCCCTTTGGGGGTTTGGAAGGACAGTTCAGAAATTAAATATGTATAATCGATAGTCTTTGCACCTTGAGACCGTGAGATCTTTATTTAAATAAGATTCTGTAGACAAATATGTTTGTTAAACACAAAATGTTTTTATTTCCTGTTTCCATTTTTTTCATTTATAATGATAATCATTTGTTTTTCGAATATAAGTTTCACAATTTTCATGTCAGGCAATATATAACAGTATATTCAGGATATTTAATAAGATACATCTAGTTTCTGAGCAGTGTTTTTACAGAGAGTGAAGAAAGAATAAGACACCGTCTCACTATGAAGGACAGATGAGAAACCGGGATGAGTCTGTGAGCTATAGAAGTCATCCGGCGAGAACTCAAAGTGACGAGCGTGTCGCGTTATTGGTCTGGAGAGAAACACAGACGGGGACAAAGAGCTCAACGGTGCCGTCAGTGTGTGTGTGAGTGTGTGTGTGTGTGTGTGTGTGAAAGCTCTCAAATGAGGGTAGCGCAGGTGTGTTTGTCGATGCCATTGTTTGTGTAAGCATCGTTGATATTGTTGAAGCGCATAGGCTTTGTTGAAGATGTAAAGGTGCGGTCACTTTTGTGAAATTTTACAGATATTACAAATAACACCAAAGTCACTATCAAAGCAATCAGCTTTCTATGGAAGCCCATTTCTTCCACGTAAGAAAAACAAATCATGCTTTGGTAAGTCATAATTATGAGATAAAATGTCAAAATTGTGACATAAAAAGTCATAATTATGACTTTAAAAGTCAAAATTATGGCATACTGAGTCACAATTATGAGATAAAAAGTCAATATTATGACAAAAGGTCAACTATGACTTTAAAAGTCAAAATTGACATACCAAGTCAATTATGAGATAAAAAAGTCAAAATTATGACAAAAAGTCATAATTATGATTTTAAAAGTCAAAATTTACATACTAAGTCAATTATGAGATAAAAAAAGTCAAAATTATGACAAAAAGTCATAATTATGGGACAGAAATCTGAAATGTATGACTTTATAAATTGAAATTACGACTTAGTCATAATTATGACATAAGTCATAACTATGAGATGAAAATTTGAAATTATGACTTTAAAAGCCAAAATTATGACATACTAAGTTATATTTAAGAAATAAAAAGTCAAAATTATGACATAAGTCATAATTATGAGATGAAAAGTTGAAATTATGACTTTAAAGTTGAAACTGACGTAATAAGTCAATTATAAGATAAAAAGTCGAAATTATGACATTCTAAGTCATAATTATGAGATCAAAAAAACTAAATTATGACACTACGTTGACTTAAAAATTTATTAAATTAATACTAAATCTACTAAACCAAAATTATGAGATTAATAAAGTTCAAATTTATGATATAGTATTTGTTTGCCATTTCTAATCTCATAATTTAAATTTAGTATGTCAATATTGGCTTTTTATCTCATAATTTCGACTTTTTGTCTCATTTTCCTCGTAAGTTCAACTTTTAAAGTCATGATTGCAACGTAGTATGTCAATTACGACACATAAAGTCATAATTTCGTCAGAATTCCATCTCATAATTCTGACTTTTAAAATCATGACTTAAACATGATTTTTTTTTCTTAGCTGGTGGAAATAGGGAACTTTTTCACTCTCGCACGCAACACCCGATCGCACAGAATCCTGTTTACATGACTGGTTTTTGCTCGCGAAATTGCGCCAAGCAACCGCGACTTAGCACGTGAGATCATTGGTGATTTCATGCACTGTTCCCATGGTGATGATGTCCCAAATTCCTGTCTGCTTGAATTTTCCATCTTATGGAAATGAATAAACGGTATGAACAATGTGCGTGATCTACCCTCGCGGTGGTGATGTTCGGCACAGCGACGTGCTAATACGCATCGCTGCTGCGTCTAAAGTACAGAAGAGTCTGAAAGAATGTGCAATAATTCGATTTACCGAATCTTAAAAACATATAAAATCTATCCCATGATGTAGAGTGGTCAGGCAGCACACGTGAAGTAGATCTTAGTAAACGTACGGCAGGCAGCGTAAGTTTAGCACATGGCTAATCTAGCTATTAGTCACTGCTCTGTGTAAACATTGAACCGATCCCAACATCAGGCCTTTAAGTTCTGTGCTGATGTGCGACGGATAGACTAGTGACGTTACTTTGAAAGTTTGGCCGCGTTCGGCTCTTTTTTCCCCCCACACACTTTTCTAACACACACCCTCCAGTGTTTCAAATGCACAACACTGTGGCAGTAACCCAGTAGAAACAGCACATTCACTAGTGGGGGCAAATTGTAGGACTGTGAGAAACAAACACAGACAGGTCACCCGCGCCGTCGACGCAAGGCTAGTGGTTCGCTAATAAGCACTACGCTAATGTCTCGCTCACAAATCAGGAGTCTGACTTGTCCGTTCGACTCGAATCCCCTTGAACACCCAAATGTTAAATCACATAATAAAAATCTAAGATTCTACCAAAGCTAGGAAGAAACGAACTAAAAATTCAAGAAATATATGCAGCTAATGTTTCCGCTGTGCTAACGGGTGCTAACCCATGATGTGCTCAACAATACTTTTTGGGAAGAAAACACACTTGTTCATTCATCTACGTTAGTAAGTATTGGATTGGCAAATTTTTATCTGAATTTTTACACCCTTTTCTTCATAACTACTCTCTTCGTTAACTACCTCCGATTTTGCATTATTTACAAGTATTAACAGTACACTCACGGACCAGAAGGTATTGCTGTGTGCACATTTAGAAAGATGGGTCGTACCGTTCTGGACGTTATCAGTGGATTGGGCAAATTATTGGCGAACTGATATGGTGCAGCTTGAAGCTGATTGGCTAATGTGTCAGTCATCGAGTGCAATCTGAGCATGTGCAGAACGTCAGCTAATTGTTTCAGTTTAACTAAGCTTGTGTGTGTGTGTGTGTGTGTGTGCGTGCGTGCGTGCGTGTGTGTGTGTGTTTGTGTGTACGTGTGCAAGTTTTTTTGAGAAAGTAAAAATGCACAAAGTTTGCTGTAAGGGGTAGGTTTAGGAGTAGGGTTGGTGTAGGACAATAGAATATACAGTTTGTACAGTATAAAAATACGCCTATGTATGGAATGTCCCCATAAAAAGTTTTTTTGAGAAAGTAAAAATGCAGTTTGTTTGCTGTAAGGGGTAGGTTTAGGAGTAGGGTTGGTGTAGGACAATAGAATATACAGTTTGTACAGTATAAAAACCATTACGCCTATGGAATGTCCCCATAAAACATGGAAACACAACATGAATGTGTGCGTGTGTGTGTGTGTGTGTGTGTGTGCGTGTGTGCGTGTGCGTGTGCACGTACGCGTGCGTGTGTGTGTGTGTATGAGTGAGTGTGTGTGTGTGTGTGTGTGTGAGTGAGTGTGTGTACGTGTGTGTGTGAGTGAGTGTGTGTGTGTGTGTGTGTAAACATTACAGTGTTACAAAAGTGTCTTCACAAACGTTGTATATATAAAAAATAAAAACCACACATCAGATAATAAATAAATAAATAACATTATAAATGTACCTTAATTCAGAAATAAATAAATGAACAAACGGATAAAACAGATATCAGGTTAAGAGAGCGATATGTGACAGATATGATTCAAGTCTGTAATGATTTTTATGCCTCTACTTTGTTAATTCATCATATATGCACATTTCCTAAACCAGATTTGACCTCATTTGTGTTATTTATTATACACTCAGTTAAAGAAAAGCCATTATATAGACTAAACGAGTGAATCCAGGTCACATTTTGGCTCGACATCAAAAGAAAAAGGTAAGAAATTATATTTTGCATACAGAAAAAGAAGCCTATTTTATATTTTTCACATCATGATGTTGTTTTCCTATATTTGGGACAAAAGTTAAGCATGTTTTCTTCATCTGAAATATTATTTCTTGGCAGGTTTTGGATGATTGTGGTCCGTCTGAATTCACTGGATTGTTTTGTGATGATTATTGTGATGATGTTTTGTGAACGACAGTCAAGAGTACTCAAAACACACAGAGATACAAAGACACATACACACACACACACGCACACGCACACAGAGACCGTCATGTAGACAGGAGAATGGGGACGGACAAATACATCGAACACTTTGAGATATGAATGACTCCTACAATCTCCTGTGTGTGTGTGTGTGTGTGTGGCAGATGCAGTTGCTCTACGCTTTGTTGATGCGCAGCTTGAAGATCACGCGGCCAGCGAACTTGTCTCTTTCGCTGATCTTGAACTGAATGGTGTTAGAGTTGGAGTTGATCGTACACTCCACGTTGACATCCGTGTTGAGAGAGATGTTCATGAACTTCACAGCCACCAGGGGCTGAGAATAATTCACCTATAACACACGCAGAGAGAGAGGTTACACTCGTATATAATCACACATCAGTGTGACTGTGTGTGGTTCAGTTATTCCCTACGCAATGATGACAAAATGTCCCCACAAAATGAGGAAAACGGCTTATAAATCATACAGAATGACGTGTTTTGAGAATCTAATGCCTGTAGTTTTGTGTGCGTGCGTGCGTGCGTGCGTGCGTGCGTGCGTGTGTGTGTGTGTGTTCTTGCCTGTGCTCTCTTGCCGTAGTATGGATAGTACATGAGGTTGAAGGATCCATTTGGAGGGAAGTATGCGATTGTACCAATACTCTCCGAATCTTCCTTCTACACACAACAAGAGAGAAATCTCAGTGCAATGTAAAGCACAGCGGTTCTCGAGCAGAGGACCTCAAGATGACTTAGAATGGGCATTAAAATATGCTAAAACAACTAAAAACCAATAGTTTTTTGTCTCTGAAAAAAAAAAACAGATACATGAGGAAGCCTCATTTTAACCACATATAAAGCCTGACATATGAAATAATAGTCTTGCTGAGTATCATATTTGCTCCATCAGGCTTTTACGACTCATATAGTCTGATGCAGTGAGAATATGGAGGGAAAATAGCTCAGTTTTATTCAGAGACTCAAACTGAGCAAAAAACATGAATTTGCTGCAGATGCTGATATTTCTATGATGAGATTCTGATGCTTGTGCTGTAAATCAGTGAGATCTTTCTAACAGTGCAGCAGATACTGAAAATGATCTGAATATCAGCGGTCGCTCTATATCTGCAGTAATCTGTCTCAGTGAGATGAGATTGAAATGCTCCAAACATATAATGCAGTGATTGAGAGCTGAAGAAATGAGGATCAGATTTGAGACTCTAAAACATGATTGATGGAGAATCAAGTAAAGCTGAGCTGCTTCAGTCCAGTAAGTGTTCATCTGGAGATATTACTGCAGTTATTCTGACGCTTACTTGATCAAAATCAGTCAAGATCTGACACGAGAAGCACCAGCTACAGTTACACTAAAAGAGCTTTTACTGGATAAACACTCTAAACTATCAATCAGAGACAGAAGACATGCAGGAGATTGAGTGAGAAACAGCAGAGTTTGATCATGATCATGATTTAGAAATGATGCAACGCTACATGTCTACTAACCACAGAATGCATGAGAGTTTAGCACTAGTTAGGGCCTGTACTGTACTAGTCTACGGTTAGGGATGCTAAGTGTGCAGACTAGTCTTTTTCTTACCCACTCATCTCCATCTTTATACCTCTGAGTATGAGGGATGCGGTGAACAAACATTACAGATGTAATTCAAGCTTGGCTGGCCGTTATTGATGAAGGTTGGCTGAAGGTCAGGTAGATCTTACTCACCCTTGCTCGACAGGTGACATACGGAGACCTTCCTTTCTCACCTGGCAGCAGCCCAATCACCTGCAGGAGTGAACGAAGCAGCTTCAGCATCTTCATTCAGCATTAAAAGCTAACTGATCTGAGCTGGCTAATGATTTCTGTTGCTATTTGCATTTTCGGCTGCATGCTAGTTTTCATTTGGAAAAAAATGTGTTGTTGCTTTTGTAAGTGTTCCGTTTTAACAGAACTCAAGTGAAGTATAGATTGCCCAACATATTACTAAAGTATAGTAGTGAAGGACTATTATTAAAATACTTCTCACCTCTGGCATCTAGCATTACTTAATTTATTGTTTTACATGCATTATTGAACTTCTCTGTTTCTGCCACAGAAAAATAATATAAAAAGGTAATTACAACGTTTTATCTCATAATTCTGTGTTTATAACTCACAATTTGGACTTTTTTCTCAGAATTTTGAGATAAATCTGGAATTGCAAGACGTAAATGCCAAATTATGAGATATAAATGCAGAATTATGAGAAAAAAGTCTGAATTGTGAGAAAAATCAGTCTGAATTATGAGATATAAATGCAGAATTATGAGAAAAAAGTCTGAATTATGAGATATAAATGCAGAATTATGAGAAAAAAGTCTGAATTATGAGATATAAATGCAGAATTATGAGAAAAAAGTCTGAATGGGGGGGGGGATCTGAATTATGAGATATAAATGCCAAATTATGAGATATAAATGCAGAATTATGAGAAAAAAGTCTGAATTATGAGATATAAATGCAGAATTATAAGACATAAATGCCAAATTATGAGATATAAATGCCGAATTGTGAGAAAAAAGTCTGAATTGTGAGAAAAATTCTGAGTTATGAGATTTAAATTCAGAATTATTACATAAATGAAGAATTATTTAAAAAAAGTCTGAATTATGAGATATAAATGCAGAATTATGAGAAAAAAGTCTGAATTGTGAGAAAAATAAATCTGAATTATGAGATATAAATGCAGAATTATAACACATAAATGCCCAATTATGAGATATAAATGCAGAATTATGAGAAAAAAGTCTGAATTATGAGATATAAATGCAGAATTATAAGACATAAATGCCAAATTATGAGATATAAATGCCGAATTGTGAGAAAAAAGTCTGAATTGTGAGAAAAATTCTGAGTTATGAGATTTAAATTCAGAATTATTACATAAATGAAGAATTATTTAAAAAAAGTCTGAATTATGAGATATAAATGCTGAATTATGAGATATAAATGCTGAATTATGAGATATAAATGCTGAATTATGAGATATAAATGCTGAATTATGAGATATAAATGCCGAATTGTGAGAAAAAAAGTCTGAATTATGAGATATAAATGCTGAATTATGAGATATAAATGCTGAATTATGAGATATAAATGCCGAATTGTGAGAAAAAAAGTCTGAATTATGAGATATAAATGCTGAATTATGAGATATAAATGCTGAATTATGAGAAAAAAGTCTGAATTGTGAGAAAAATAAATCTGAATTTTGAGATATAAATGCTGAATTATGAGCTATAAATGCCGAATTGTGAGGGAAAAAAGTCTGAATTGTGAGAAAAATTCTGAATTATGAGCTATAAATGCAGAATTATGAGAAAAAAGTCTGAATTATGAGATATAAATGCTGAATTGTGAGGAAAAAAGTCTGAATTGAGAGATGATATAAATGAAGAATTCTGAGAAAAAAGTCAGAATTGCTAGATAAAAAGTCTCAGTTATATATTTAGTTTTATTTATTCGGTTGCAGAAACGGGTTTCCATAGTAAGAAGCTTCCAGAGGCTGTGACTGATCAATAGATGGCAGCTGTGAACATCGTGTGTAGTATTATTATTATCATAAGCTGTGCACGGCCGTTCTGTGATTGGCCAGTTACCCGGTTGAGTTTGATGAGCACGCAGGGTTTTCCGTCCTGGTATCCGTATGTGTGGTCGCTGAGTCCGGAACAGTCTTCCAGCACGGTGCGGTTGAACTGGCAGGAGCGTTTGGGGTTGTTGCGCACCTCTCCGCTGTCCTCCTGGGTGAAGTACTGATCCGGGACGCAGGCGTCGTTCTTCATCACCTGCTGAGAGTCGTTATAGGCTGCAGAGAAACACAGAGCAGACGTCAGGCTTTCTTTAGGATCCTCCTCCCGAGTTTCCTGAAGCAGAGTCACGATCGTTCGCTAAAACTGACACTGTTATAAAAACAGTTTTTCGTCAATTGGAATAAAGCTGAAATAAATTTAATTAAATTATAATTATTAGATGAAAAACTTCTACTACATGATAATCAGTGTTATTTCGTTTTGGTTATTATTTTGAACTAGATTTTTTATTTATTTTTTTTTATAGTTTCTGCTTTCATGTTAATATTAGTTAAAGTTTTAGTAATTTTGTTGTGTGTTTTTGTCATTTTTGATTTTTGAAATATGTCTATTATTCAGTTTTAATTTTATTTATTTTAGTACATAAAGTTAAACTAAATGAAAATGAGAAATGTTGTCTTGGAAACTAGCTGAAATGTAATTTATTTCAAGTAACGCAGATGTATTTTTATGGTTTTAGTTTTAGATTTATAACCCTGAGGAAAATAAGAAAAGTTGCCTTTTTTATAATTTTTTTATAGCTGTAAACAAAGATTATTGGAATAGGTTTTACAAGAAAATACTGTTTTTCAGTCTTTCTACTTCAAAATTTAATGTTTAATTCAATTACTTGCCATTTCTGTAATTTCATTTGTGAAATCTACTTGCAATTTTCGAGTGAAAATGTTTTTTTCTGTGTGACTGAAATACATTTAAATTGAAGCACTAAAATTACTAACTGGAAATGAATAAAAACTTTAACTTAAACTATAAAAATAAAAGAAACCTAAATAATAATAATATTTAAAAGAAACAAAAACTGCTAAAAACTGTTCAAAAGCACATTAGAAAATTACTAATAATTAAACTGAAATTAAAATCTGAACATATAAAAATTAAAATAAAAGAAAATTGATAAAAAAAAAATTAAATTATTAATAAAACTGTAATAAATAGTACTGAAATAACACTTGCCTGTAGAATTATACACTCTTATGATACTTGTATGGTGATTTTTGTTCTTTTAGGATCTAAAAAGATGTTGAATGGACCAAATGGTAAGAAGATTCTCCAAAAATTGACATTTTGATTCCACGAATGAAGGAAAGTCATGAGAAAGTCATTAAACGTCATGAGGGTGAGTAAATCAAAGTTTATTTATGTGTGAATTGTTCCTAAAACACAGATACTTGACATTGTGGTTGTGACAAATTGCAGATTAACAAATTTATATTTTTCTTTATGCATTTGATAACTTACATTGCATTGAAGGCATTTTTGTTTTTATCAGTTCATGTATTCACTGGGAATCGAACTCATGACCATGGTGTTGCGAGCGCCATGATCTATTCTTCCAGATGAAAACGCACACATGGACTGCGATTGTGAGTCAAAAATGTAACTATTTATTGCTTGCAACATCATTGCATGTTGTTTCATGTACCCTTTTGTAAAAATCTGTGTTTCTATTTACTTACGTGCAAGAAAGTTGTCCAGAGCCTGAACGTACGAGTCCCAGCTCTCTGTTTTCTCCACATTATAAACGATTTCTAGTAGATCCGTTTTTGGCCGAATCATCATGCCTAGAGAAACACACAGAGTCAGGAGATTGCGTGTGTGTGTGTGTGTGTACCTGGTATTTATCATGTTATGGGGACCAAATGTCCCCACAAGGATAGTAATACTAGTAAATTTTGACCTTGTGGGGACATTTTTGAGGTCCCCATGAGGAAACAAGCTTGTAGATCATACAGAATGAGTTTTTTTGAGAAAGTAAAAATGCACAAAGTTTCCTGTAAGGGGTAGGTTTAGGGGTAGGGTTGGTGTAGGGCAATAGCACATACAGTTTGTACAGTATAAAAACCATTACGCCTATGGAATGTCCCCATAAAACATGGAAACACAACATGTGTGTGTTT